CCAAAAGGCAGCAGAAAAAGGATGTGATCTAGCATGCAATAATCTTGGTTGGTGTTATAAAAATGGAATTGGAGTAGAAAAAAATGAAAAAAGAGCAGTTGAATTATTCCAAATCGCAGCTGAACAAGGGAATGATGGGGCACAATATGGTCTTGGTTTGTGTTATACAGATGGAACTGGGGTAGAAAAAAATGAGCAAAAGGCTGTTGAATTGTTTCAAAAAGCAGCAGGACAAGGGGATGCTGAGGCACAATATAGTCTTGGTTGGTGTTATCATAATGGAGCTGGAGTAGAAAAAGATGTAGGAAGAGCAGTTGAGTTGTATCAAAAAGCTGCTGAACAAGGACATGCTCAAGCACAATATGATCTTGGTGTGTGTTATAGACATGGAACTGGAGTAGAAAAAGATGAACAAAAGGCAGTTGAATGGTATCAAAAAGCTGCTGAACAAGGATACTAATACATTAATGCATAAAAAAATCTTGGTGTTCTGAAAATGGTACCAAAATTTAGAAAAAGATGAGCAAAAAAATCGATTGTAGCTGAAGACAGGCTTTCTTGTGTCCAAAATGGTGTCAAAAACAACTGAACAAAGAAATACTGTTGAATTGTATCAAAAAGAGGTGATTTTTTACAAAATTATTTTAGTTGGTAGCATGGAAATTTATATTATATATCAATTTGGTATTCAGATAGAAAGAATACTCAGAAAGCTATTGAATTATTCTAATATGAAGGCAGTTTTATAAAAAAATGCTTATAGGTAATATAGCCTTGGTTTGCAATGAAAGATGGTTGGAGTAAGACAAAAGCTGCAGTCAAAACTCAATATTAATATAGTAGAGTCTTGATATGGTAAATTTTGCGTTATAGTCAAGAACAAAAAACAAAATTATTAAATCGGTAATATTCTGGGAAATAAAGAACAAATAAATATCAAGAATATGTCATAAATGATAAGTTCATACAGCAATAATGAATTGATAAAATGTACTTTATGCCAATAAATTAAGCGTAACAACAAAAATTTCGTAATCTGGGTAAATATAATGATAGTCGAGAAAGCATCTCAATTTTGCTTAAGTCATTTTTTCAGGAACTAAAAATTCAAATCAATTAAAGTTTACATAAATTCTGCGTATGCGTGAAGAAAAAAAAGTCATCGGAACAAAGTAACACTACCTACTAATAGAAAAATTGTTAGAATATACGATAAGTCAGCACGTGAGTGAGTGTTTCATTGATTAGTTTGCCGAATCGGTGTTGGTCGTAGCGCAATGCAGCTCGGTTGTGGAATTGGCTATCACGACGTCGATGAAATAAGTCGCAGGCAAATATTCCGGCTAATTGTGACTGGAACCAAACCTATTATTTTCGTTGACTGGACAAAATTTATAGAGTTTACACAAGTCTCCATCGAATTCTTGGTAAGCGCTATTGTTGTCGCAAATATAAATTGCAACAGTATTCTGACACAAAAAATATGGCCGTTTCATAGTTTTGCTGTTGCTATTCAGTCAATTAATAAGTTTCTCAGTTGGTACAGTCCAACATGCTACTAGTGCTATTATTTTTATAAGAAAAATGGTTTCTACATAAAGATTTTGTAATATGCAAAGTTGAAGCCAAATTTACACATAATACTATTGCTAGTGGTAATCTCATGGTCACTTTTGATAACCCTCACTCAAATATTAACTTATTAGTTCAGTGTTGTGGAATCATTCATTGCCGGAACCATTTACTATCGTACCCCGCGGATATCATGACACAACCACGACCTATTGCCATTGATCAAAATTGTCAATTATAGTCATATTACCGTATTATTCAAATGATCGGAATAATGTTGACTGTGACGACGTTAAAATTGATATTGCGGTACATGGATAGTGCGTTGCTTATGCTGATGCATACGTATTTGTTTTTTTATATAATTTTATACTTTATAGTATAAAATTATATAAAAAAACGCATCTCATTCGATTGTTTGGAAACGTGGCCATGTTCATGACTATCAAAATGGGAAGAACTACTCGTTTAAATATTTTTACTTGAAATTACATATTGATATATTCATTTAAAAGTTATCTATTACACGTGTGAGTGACCACAAAATAGCGTGCACCGAGATAATAAAACCTATTACCAAGACTATTTAGACAATAAGCAAATGATGTATGATACAATGCAAAGTATGAATTACCTATTCGCTACTCCCGATTTAAAAGCAATATTTGTCTAGAAATTAACTAATATTGTATGATTAGAGTATAAGACTAAATGCAAAGCATTAATCACGAAACGTGATAATGTGCTAACGAAAGAACTTTCGTAATTCATTTACCGTGTTTTTAGTTATAACTAGAAGATGTTAAAATGTCAGCACAATCACAATATTAATTACTACAAAAAACGTTTTATTGCTGCACTTGAATATAGTACAATTTGTTCATAAACGGTTTTACAATATAGAACTGAAACCGTCAGAACGGCTCTGAGAGCGGTCTTTAGAGAACTACATTTATGTTAGAGCAATCTATTTCCAACACTAGGGCGGACATTTGTAGATGTAAGATCAAGCAATCAAACTACAAAGAATTGCTATTAAGGCTCCGATAAGCTTATAGAGCTTTTTATTAATTCGACCAATGCCGCCATATCAGTTAGGGAACAAGTCTTTTGTAGCACATTATTGCCAAGCTGGTAAGCACTATGGTAAATCGCATTTAGTACTGGACAAAAGTAATGGCAGTAAGTACGCAATTTTGTTTTTTGTTGATAGCATCTTGGTATCGCATTTTAGGCGTTGTTTATTAACACCAATTGAGCAGGACAACAGTAATTTAAATATAAACAAATGTACAAACTGTCTTTACGCTTATTAAATGGCACCCACACCTGTAAAAACAAATCGCAAACTTGTTACGTCGTTTGGAAGCAAAACGTTCATAATACAAAAAAATTTTCAAAAGACTAAACTAGAAATTTTTTACATTTCTATAAATGTTGTGTTTCCATACTTCGAAAAAAATGGTCAATTCATCGACCACGAAAATTATCCTGAATAACATCGCCAAATCAAGAACATAATCAATTCACGACATCTAATGAGTTGAAGACTATGCTTTGGCTCTACCCACGTAAAATGTAATGTCTATTTAACGCAACAAGGAAAAGCCAACTCTCTAATCTGGGCACGTAATTACTCACACTACAATTAGGTGAATTGGCTTTTCTGACAGAACTACAATCCAAATGGTTTGCAATACAACCCGTCCGTGCATGGTCACGCGAAAAAAATTTTGTTCAACCAATGGTAAAGCATCCCTTTAAAGTTCACGTTTGGGGCTGCGATTAATATTAAGGAAAATCGGGATGCACATATTCACAAAGAATTTAAATCGTCCTTTTTATATCGGAAAATCTCCAACAATTATTTATGTAATAATACCGACAGCTTTCTAGGTCACGACTGGATATTTTAGCAGGATATGACCCAAACATATATTTATGACGTTCAGGGTGACTTGGAATCTCGTCTTCCACGACACATTCTTCCTTGGCCTTCGTACAGTCTAGATCTCAATCCAGTTAAAATGTCTGGGCTGTTCTGCGGCATAATACGCATTAAAAGTGGCAAAATTCTCAAAGCGTTTTTTTTTTTTTTAATTTAATTAGGGAGTAATGGGATAATCTCGAGGAAAATGTCATAGTTAACATGTAATTAATTGAAATTTAAGCTTCTATTGATGCTGAAAGAGGCCATACTAAATATTAAGTAATTAATAAAATTTGTAGCCCTAATGTTTGGCTTTGTCAGAACTTTTTATTTTATATGTTTTAATTTCAAGCTGAGCTCATTACATTCCAAAAACTGACCGCGCCATTACTTTGCCGGAGACTGTATAAATTACACTTTACCCAAAAACGTGATTGCAATATAGATAAAAAATGTCAACATTGTAAATTAAATAGACTTTCTACATTAACATTGGAGTAGATGTGCCTATACTGTAATAATTTAGATCACTTATCGTTCTCAGCAAAACATTAGAGATTGAACCAAATAATATACGCCTTGAACCGAAGGGGATGGATGTAACAATAGTAATAGCAACTTTAGAGATTTTGCTTAATGAAGAACCGATAAAATCAAGCCAAAAATATGGCAATTCACGGTCAAGTCGTTGAAGCTTGAACAAATAATGCATGGACATTGAAAGGGAAACTTATTGAATTATTGAGAGATCAATAAAAATTTATTGTAAAATAAAATTTTTAATATTAATATTAGCAGAAATGATAATGAGGCTAATTAGTAAATATACTAGTTACTCAAACAAATATGACACGAAATTCGTAATCGTCCATTGGTGAGACCACAACCTATATACAGCAAATTACAATTATAACGAAGTGTGCTCCGTCCCCTTCGTTAATAGTTAATGCTGACTGTAAAACCGTTACAAAAACAAAAGCAGAAATAAAACTTTGTTATAATAATAAAGCCTTTTTTTCGTATATCAATGCAAAGTCACATAATTATAAATCAGCTATTTCAATCGTTCGCATCTAGAATGCCAACGAACAGATCCATATTGGGTCATTTTTGATTGCTACATTAATCACACTAAAAAATTTGGCGTAGCGCGACATGGACTTAAACGACTACATTACATTTGTATCATCTTACAATGTTACTAATGTGATTGATTTGTAAGAAAAGCAAAGTCCCGATTAGTCAGCGGTGAGTATTCCATAAAACAAAGTCAAATTCCATGAATTTATTTGCTATAGCTTATACATCCCTTGATTATTAATTGCAGTCTCCGCAGTTTTTTACATCAAACCACTCAAAATTCATATCGGCAGCTACGCCATGCTGCGCACGCTGCGCATTTATTAATGTTACACATGTACAACGATTTGGCAATCATTTATAAATACCCAAACCCTTGCGTTGATTTTTTCGCCCACTAAATTCAAAAAGAATCACAATGATAAACTCTGAACAGCCAAAAGATTATCGAGTAAGAATGTCCATACTATAATCATCGCGTGAAGCGTTTGTGAGTAGAGAACTGGACGATTGCTAACCTTTTTTTTTTTTGCCTCACTTCTCTCCTCAACTTTTCATTTAGATTCCTGATACACCAGATGATGGTATCAGCGCACTGGCGTTCTCGCCGGTTGCAGACTATCTTGCTGTTTCTTCATGGGATACTTCCGTAAGTCAACTAGCAACAAATGTGACCTAAATACCAATCCATGGAATTCGGCGGCGGTTTGTTTCGGTTTCTATCATTCTGTGATGTTCTTATGACATTAGACAACAATGGACGACCTCTCTACCTCCTGTCTCTCCCTTTCTCTCTCTCTCTATCCCCAAAATCACTCCCTCTTACTGATGATGGTTAAAAATGACTGTAAGGAATCTACAAATGCCATCTTGTTCTGTTCGAAGAATCTCTTACAAAACGAGTTGTCATTGTCCCAAGGTTGATGGCCGTGTCCAGAAGGGGTAGTCCCTAGTTCCCTTGTCTTGACAGTCAAGTAAATCACAATGTACTATAGCGTTAATGTGAAACACGTCACCATAGAATTGTTGCCGAATTCCTTCGAGCTATATAATTGTCATTTTAACATTCGTTTAATTGTCATTTTCCGTATAGGTGAGAATATATGAAATAAATGCTGCGGCCGGAGCTGCATACGGCAAAGCATTATACAGGCATGAAGGTGCTGTTTTATGCTGTGCATGGAGTAAAGTGAGTTAATTAATACAAATTTGACAATGAAAGTCTTGCAGTTTTTTCGATTTATTTATTTATGACTAATCTCTTTTTATGTTTTCAATCGTTTAGGATGGATCTAAACTCGTTTCGGGCGGCACGGATAAGGCTGGTCGACTGTTTGATTTAACTACACAACAGTCTATGCAAATCGCCCAACACGAAGCTCCTATAAAAACTATCAAATGGGTAGATAATCAACCAAATAATCTGGTCTGCACCGGAAGCTGGGACAAAACCGTCAAGTATTGGGATACTCGAACCCCGACTCCCGTATTGAGCGTCGATGTACCCGAAAGGGTTTACACGATGGATCTAATCTCTCCTCTATTGGTTATTGGCACTGCCGAAAGGCACGTTGTCATATACAATATAGCGAATCCAAATACACCATATAAGGTAACGTCATGAAACTGTCATCCACATAATTTTTAAGATTGTTCTGTTTTCTAACATCATTGCAATCGTTATCTTATTTTGACTTATAGACGCAACCCAGTCCTTTGAAATATCAAACTAGAGTCGTTTCTTGCTTTATAAACGCAACTGGGTATGCAATCGGAAGCATCGAAGGAAGAGTCGGGATCCAATATCTCGAGGAAAAAGACGGGCAGTAAGTAGATAAATGTTTCCTTCTACTACATAATTAATATTCAATCGTGTAAATGGGTTATATTAATTCATATTCTTCATTATTCAAGGTCGAGTTTCTCGTTCAAATGCCACCGAGATGGTAATAATGTATATGCGGTAAATGCAATATCATTCCATCCGTTGCACGGCACGTTTTCAACTGCCGGAAGCGATGGCACGTTTAACTTTTGGGATAAAGATTCTAAGCAGAGACTCAAAGGCTTCTCCAATGTTGGAAGTCCTATATCTGCTACGACTTTTAATAGAAATGGCACATTCTTTGCTTATGCCGCAAGTTACGATTGGAGTAAGGTAAGCTTTATTAAGAAGTTAATGATACGTGTGTTGCACGTCTCTCTCCGATCATTAATTAAACATCTCATTAATTTTCGTTTGCTATAATGTAGGGATATCAATCATTCCAACAGACCCAAAATATCGTATATCTGCACGCTGTAAAAGAGGAGGATGTTAAACCCAGACCAGCAAAGAAGAGATGATGGCGCGGGGTGCAACGACGACAAATCGCGCTTGTTATATGACACTACGCAGATGACTTTTGTCAACACAGATTGCAACTATTTTATTTCACATCATTATTTCTTGTCTTTAACAATCAATGTTTTGTGTCACATTAGGAAATAAAGATTTCAAATTGTTTTACTTTATGCTGAATGTTTTTCCTCGAATGCTTTCATGTAATCAATCAATGCAGTGACGCCCTCTATTGTCATGGCATTATAAATGCTGGCCCTAAGGCCGCCGACGCTACGATGTCCTTTCAACTGATACATCCTCAAAGCTTCGGCACCTGCCAAGAATTGCGCCTCCAATTCGGGCGGGTTTATTCTGAATGGTACGTTCATTCTCGATCGCACTTTTGGATCAATATGCGATTGATAGATTTTTGATTGATCGATATAGTCATACAGCAATTTAGCCTTTTTCTCATTAACTTTCTCAATCTCTTGGACTCCGCCTCGTGCTATTAAATGCTCAAACACTAAGCCCGCCATGTACACCGCAAATACGGGAGGCGTGTTATATAACGAATCTGTATCTGCCATGATTTTGTAATCCAACATACTGGGTACTGTCGCCAACATGCTACTACTCCCAGCACTATGCTCGACAACAGTCTTTGGCTGATCAACCAACAAATCCTCTCTCACGATCACGATAGTAACTCCAGCCGGTCCAACATTCTTCTGAGCTCCCGCATAGATCACGCCAAATTTACTAACATCGAATTTACGCGAGAGTATGTTCGAAGACATGTCACACACGAGTGGAACGGAAGGGTCGATATCGGGAATGTAGGGGAATTCGACTCCATTGATTGTTTCGTTATCGCAGTAATACACGTAGGCAGCATCTGGACCGCTCAATTTCCATTCTTCGCGAGGAGGAATGGATCCAAACTTTCCACCACCCGAAAGTCTTGCATCTGCGGCAATGTTTACGTTCGCATATACTCTTTTCGCCTCGGCCACCGATTTTGCCGACCATGATCCAGTGATTACATAATCTACTGGTGGATTCAAAGAGTAATCGCCCGTTTTTGTCCTCTTTGCGGCGACGAGATTGTATACGACCGCCGCAAATTGAGTATGCCCACCTCCCTGCATAAATAGTATCTTGTAGTTTTCTGGAATATTTAACAATTGCCGCAAATCATTCTTGGTCTTTTTGAGAAGGTTATCAAACGTTTTGGAACGATGAGAGATTTCGAGGACCGACATTCCGGTATTGTTGAAATCGAGAAATTCGGCTTGAGCCTTAGCCAGAACCTCTGCTGGGATGGCGGCAGGACCGGCACCAAAGTTCCATACTTTTGTGGTTGATGACATTTTGTTGGTGGGTGCGTAGGTAGGTGAGATCAAAGGAAGAAATGGATAACTTTTCAATTGTGTGTTGGGAATTTTGAATATTACAGTGGGACAATCATTTCGATAATCAATTTCCCGGTTGGTGACTCGTATTCTCGAAAATTTTGTAGTTACACAAGCGATAGTAAAAAGAAAGCCTGGTTTAGAAATTTGTTAGAAGTCTTTGACCGGAATTATTTGGTAATTATTTCCTTACAAGTTGCACAGAAAATTGCACATGAAAGTCACAGGCGCGCATTTAAAGAGATCCATATTATGAGTTGGATTTACTGTGCATTGTTTTAGTGTCAGTATTAGTAAGCCATCACTCATTTTATGAGCAATTCTAATTGCACAGAACAACGGTGTAGCATTTTTGTCCGTAGTAACAGTAATTTGCAAAAGTCACTCTTGTTGACCACCGCTCGGCATCCGTTTTTGGAAATTGTCGAATTAAACTTAATTCATGATGCGAGAAAATTAAGTAATTTCATCGACTTTTTGGTCACAGGCGCATGAAGTTGCACAAACATGCATGCTATTCATTGCGGGAGTTGATGGATAACGTTTGATCGAAAAAACTAACATGAGCATTATTAGACGGTTCAAAGCCACGGATTTGTTCAAGTTCAACAACATGTAAGGCTGCCTTTAATTCATTCAACGAGTTATCATCTGGGACCTAATCATTCATTTTTCTAATAATATTAGTAACCTTGACACTTTAACAGAGACAGTATGTCTGGAACTCTCTTTCGATATCCAACATCCTTAAATTAACTCTGAGTAATCATTAAAACCTTCACATTCTGCAACCACTGTTTCCTCATCTCAACAGTATAATATCTCATTTTACCTGTCATACTTGTCAAAATGGCCCGATTTGTTCTACTCGGAAGAATCGCCAGAAGGCAAATTAGTGGGCTATGGTAAAGTAATTCGATCAACCAGACTGCGATACGAGTAATTAGAATGCTTAAATTCTTATAACTAATTAGAATGCATTTCACCAAAGTTATGGGTAAAGCAGAGGGGCGAGATAGAGAGCTCCATGGACATGTGACAGCAATCACTGTTGCTCCAGAATACCGTCGTTTGGGTCTAGCTGATGCGATGATGGAACTTCTCGAGAATGTGTCTGACAATGTGTAAGTATATTAGTCATGCTCGATTATAACTTTATTTCACAGCTAATATAATACCATCAATCGAATTAGATACAAAGGCTATTTTGTTGATTTATTTGTACGCGTGTCAAACACAGTTGCCATTGGAATGTACCAGAAGTTTGGTTATAGTGTTTATCGCCGTGTTATTGGATACTATTCTTCAAATGACGAAGAAGAAGATGCGTACGGTAAGTTCACTAAGGAAATTGTTGATCTATAAAGTATCGAAATGCTAACATGATCGATTGCTTTACAATAAGATATGAGAAAACCTTTATCGAATGATCCGGAAAGATTAAGCGTAGTGGAAAACGGTGAATCTATTTTTGTAAAACCTGAAGATTTGACTTGAAACAAAATACATCGTCCATAGCGGTCAACCATTTTAATAGTTCTTTCGAAAAATATTTCACAATGTGATCATTATCATTTATCAAATGTGTTGGGTTAAGTCTAATCAGGCAGTGATTAAAAGATCGAGCAACTGAAACTCACGTACGTGTAGCTTAAGCATTATACAGAGCGAGCGAACTCGCCCTCATTGCGAATTCTTCCAAATAGAGAATAGTTTACCCCGTGTATGCTTGCATTACATCACGTGCATGGTAGAAGGGGACAGTTGTACGAACATACCGATAAGAAAAAGATCTTATTACGCCATATGTGCCTGAGTTTTGACATTGGGCAATTTAACATATTTCCGAAAGAAGATTATCCAAATCGATACCTCATTTTCACTACGTTCGTACTCATCATTATTTGCACGAAAATCCATGGCAAAGTTAAACCCTCTTTGTACAGTCCTAGTTACAATTATCGAAGGCCGTTACTTTCCAGAAACGCCTGATTCAAAGTTATACATTGAATGCCGCTTTACCGACGAAATACTCTCGACAATCAGTCCCGACTCCAATTCAACATTATGCACAGACACTGTCGAACAAATTGGATGTCCAATATGGGATACTGAATTGGCATGGGAGGTAGATCAGAAGACTTTAAATCTGTTAAAATCGCAATGGGCACATCTGAAACTACAGTGCTTCTCTTTGAATTCAATGGGAAGAAGCGAACTTATTGGATATTCAATGTTAGATCTCAGAGCCGCTGCTTACAGACCAGGCAAAGATACATGGATTACGTTATTGAATCCGAATGATCGAGGTCTCTGCCCCGAAGTTCGTGTGGGATTCTGTATTTTGACTAATTTATCAGCCGATTCAACGTCCATTGAAGATTCGATTGAAGGAACAGTGGTAAACAGGATATCTAATATATCTAAACACCCTAACATAAAGCGAATAGACACTGGGACATATCGTATTGGCACAGAACCCGATGACGTCTTTATATTATCAATCACAATTAACTTTGGTGCCAACCTTCATTTACTAATTCCAAACTCTGCGTCTTTTCTATCAGATAAATTGGATACAGATTCGGGCACTCCTGCTATCAATTCCGCACTCTACTTCCAATACACTTTTCTCGAAAGTGTCATAAAGGGAAGTAAATTCCATGATTTATCTCATCCTACTATGAAACCAGAGACAGCGACGTTCAGATTTCACTCGACTCTGGTAGATTTTCAATCTTTTCTCATTCGAGAAAGTAAACTGGTGGTTAATCTGTACCAGGAAACGAAACTCATAGGATTCGCAGAGATTCCGTTAACAGGTTTATTTGATGCGAAAACAGGAGATCCTCGATCACTGGATCGAGTATGTCCCATTTATAACACAAAAAAAGAACTTTCAATGTCACCCGATGCACAAACACCCAGAATCGGCCTTTTCTTTGCCGTTCGCATAGATGACTCGAATGCAATTCTTGATAATTTGAGATCGGTGGACTCGCCGAAGCAGGATAAAGATAAATCCCGAACAGACAACAATGATCAATCGCTACTTGTGGAACACGAGTACCGAGTTCACATTGATTTAAAGACGATAAAACTAGTCAAGACTTTTCGGGACATTTTCATCAGGTACAGTTACCCTGCGTTAGGCATTACAAACAGCAAGACGACTCAAGACCTTCCTAACGTAGAAGCAGGCATCGACGAGAGTATATCAAATGGAACAACGGCCATCGATGTCAAAATGGCTCCTCAACGATTACGAAGATATTTTGAGACAGTTCCTTTATTAATGGATATATGCCAGCATCTGGAATCGAAAGATGTACAAATCGGAATAGTATCTCTCACGTTAGCTGAAGTGTTTCAGGCTGATTCCACTCGAGACGACGAAACAAGTGTGGAAATGATAACATACAGCACAAGAGCGCCAATTAAATCGGTAGGCGTAACAACAATACCCGAACTGGGGCATATCAACATAACTATAAGAATAGAAGATTATGGCGCGAGAGAGTCTGCAGCTCGACAAAACAGTTCAGCCATCTTTTCTCTGCCGCAAGGATCTCCCCAATTGGATGCCGAACAAGAATACGAAATATCCACAGACCCAGGCCGTGTCTCTCGCCTATCCAACAATTCTGGTATGGGTGATTATCCCACCCGATCAGCATCTCGTAATAGTTTTCGATCAGAGATCTTTCAACAAGCAGAAGAATACATGAGATTTAATCAGGAAGTTCTTCGATCGAGAAAGGATAATTCTCCACAAGGAATATACAGAAATAAAGTACAGCAATTACGAGCGATCGACCACCAGCTTCAGCAGTCTATGCTGTATTTCCGAACACGCGATGAGAGTCTAAAGCGTGCCGAAAAGGATATAGAAGCGCGGTGGCTAGAGCTGGATAGACAATTCGAGCAGAAAACCAGGGAAATGAAACAAGTGCTCGAGAGAGAATATCAAGAAAAGGAAAGAAAGTTGAGACAGACTACGCCAGAGAGTGAGGAAAAGATAAGATTGTTACAAGACGAAGTCGAGAGTCTGAAAAATGAATTGGAATACTCGAAAAAGGCGGCACGGCAATATGAATCGCAGTGGCTGAGAACGCTAGAGATCATTGCAGGAATGGATTCCAGTGGTGGGGAGATTGACGAGTTGTACGTGACTGGTGGGATTGAGAACGTTGGAGATAATTGGGTGCAAGTAAAAAAGTTGGCAGAAGAGGAATTAAAGTATATGGATAATGATAGACTAGCTTTGGAAAATTTAAAGAAAGAGCTAGACAAATTAAGGGCCGTATGTTGAATTGTATGCTCCTGTAGTGTCATTCCCTTTTAATTGAAGACGGGGTTTTTGTTATTTTTTCTTAATTTATATTTTTTTCATACTGCACTTTTATTTTGTAAATACATCATTTACATTGTCAGACTGTTGACATTTATCGATGAGATAACATCCGTTTCCCTAGATGTTTTTATGAGGAACTGTTTCACTATACACCCAATAAACCTTCTAATGCTTCTAACATCGTCATAATGTTGCCGTTGTGTAACAAACGATAGATGTTACCGTTACATGGCCAATCAATGATCAAGTTTTTTGATGATGAAAAGTCAGCCTTGAGGACAAAATCAACAAAATATCAAATTTCTCGTCTTGGTTTCCTCTCTCTCATACAATTTCCCTGCTCTCAAACCAATTCTCTCTCAGTTCTAACGCTTTTGAACAAACCATGGGCGGCGGACATGCCTGGTGGTGGGGCTACATGGGCGGCCCCACTCAACGCGGAGTTGTAACATACTCTATCTCGCCTTACCAACAACGTGCCTTTGCTGGTGCATTAAAGAACGGCGTCTTCAACACATACAGACGCGTTGCGTCTCAGACAATTTATATCGGTGTGCCGTTCGTTCTTGGATACTTTGTTTACACAGAAGGCAAGAAAAAGTACGCATATTACCAGTCCAAAGCTGGTATAGCTGAATTGGGTCATTAACGAGGTGAGTCAGGGATGGGAGAATGATGGGGAATGATAGGAGAATGGGAGGAAGATGAGAAAGTGAGAAGACGATTTCGCAGTTGATAACTGATTGTATTGCTTCTATTTTCCCTCAGAGTAGATGATGATAATATGGTACGAATCAAAGATACTCTTTCACATTATACTTTCACACTGTATTGTCCGTCTCAATTAAATAAATGAACGCATTCGTATTATGAAGAAAAAAAAAGTTTACCTGTATATCATTTAAATCAGTAATAAAAAAAACAATCGCTATACAAAGGAAATAACAATGGAAACATAATATCAGTCGGAAGAAGCAAATAAAGTGTTTCAATCTCTACGAATGAGAAATGCAAGAAGCTTGCAATAGGAATAGTAGAAAGGTTGTTTGCTCGCTATAATCTTATTACATTCCAATCTAATAATAGAAACTCTTGCATTGTGTGAAAATGATCTAAGTAATAGAAAAAGTCCATCTGCAATCGAACGTAAAATCTATGCCAGATAATTGTACACCCGCCTTTAAACGAAAATTTGTGACAATGTAATTAGTATATATTCATAGTAGTTAATAAACGTTCACACAACTTTCAATTTCCTCTTACCTATCACCAGGCGCCCGCTCTAAATAGTCTCTATCGATTAACGCCTCAATCCTTTTCTTGATCATTCCCGGATGAGGTGTAAACCTCGAACTCAGTTGTTTCACCACTTCTGCTATCAAATTATTATGTTCCATTGTCTTTCTGTCCTTCATAATCCTCACCACGGCGGCCTCAATTTGGTGTTTCCGTGCTTCTTCCACTTTCTCCCTCGTATCCTTGCGCTCTCCTTCCGTTTCAACCTTACTGGCAACAGTCTGGATTTTAATGCGTTGCAGGGGGGCAACGAATTCACTATTGAAGAAGAATCGATCATTGACGTTGATGTCTTTTGATTTCGGTTCCTTTGTAAGGATCCTGTATTTTGCGCAAGCGAGGGATTGGAGATTGCGCTTTAAGTCTGCTTCAGGAATATCCGATTCGCCTTTTATTTGCTGTAGTTTAAGAAGAAAATTATGCGATTTAAGAATACATCCGTGAAAAGAAGAAAAAGAAACTTTAAACACAGTGAGATTTACCTCGTAGGCTAGCGAATCGCCTTCCGGAAGATCATTAAACATTAGCAATATGACCATTTGATAAGTCGATACATTGATTTCATGCCTCTTATGTTTAAACGTAGCACGAATATCAGCAGTTCCCTAATTATAATAAGGTTTGTTAATATATGGATCAAGTTGTCTCATAATTTTTTTTCTCCACTCATCTGTTTGACAATCTCTTCATACCATATTCGACTGCCATGTCAATCTTCGACCGCTATGACGTTCAAGGTAAAATTTCTGAAATGTCTCGCACGCCTTTGTGATTTCGGCTGGGAAGTTGCAGCGAGGACTCGCCGATAAATTCATTGGCCAGAACGTGGATGTGAGAACAGTCACGTTGAGATCCAGTTTCGGTCGCTAGTTTGTGGGAAAATTGATTGTGAGTCAATAAGCGTACAAGATAAATAAGAGGTGCCAACATTACTCATAAATCATTCTTGTATGTACCTCGATTCCTATTTTATCTGGATACTCTCTAAAGTCGGACATTGTATCTGCCGATATTCTCATATCGTTGAACATTCCTTCTAATTTTGTAGTGAATTGATAACCGCATTCGATCTAAACATATTGATGTAAAAGATTTTTCGATCAGACTCTATGATAGAAATACATTGCCAAAAGAAAAAAATATGGTTTATGACACACCTTGAGTTTGCTAATCATTCCTCGCTCAGCATCATCGCTTACACTACGTTGGAATAAAAGTCGTTTTGCAAGATGCTGTTTGTAGTAACGCTCAAAGACATCTTTCTCATTGATGAAACGGAAAAGCGTAATCGTCTTGTCAAGTACGTTATCTACTTCGTCTTCCGTTTTCTATTAAATAATGTGAATATAATCGTTTTGACGATTAGCATAGCTTGATTTAAAGTTGTGAGCAAGGCAAACATTGGCAATAGTAATGAATCGCAAACTTACTCCTTTGAGACCCTTCTTAAGATTCTCGTCGATAAACAGTGATATAAACTCGGGAGACTTTGGGTTATCATTAATAAAGCTTCCAAAGGCCTGAAATAGGAGCATCAGTTTCCAATTAATAATATGTTAAGTCAGTTCAATTAATTAACACATGAACGTGTCTATCAACTTACTTCGATGAACGAAGTCTGAAACGCTTTATCATTGTTCAACGCCTGACTCAACACTTTGTCAAATTTGTCCTTCAAGTCCAATACTTCCTGCACCCATCGTATTGCCACAACTGTACCAGTTTGCTTGTCATTGGCGGAGGAAGTGTTGCTGCCTCCTTCACCCTGGTTCGTCACACCACTTGTAACTTTTTCATTTATGAGTTTACCGAGAGCTCGAATGTGTGTAGATATGGCAGATTTCATTTCATCGTGGCCAGTCTCTACACGGAAAAATAACTTGTACATGCGAGCTAGGTCTATGTGTTGAATACAGAGTGAGTAAATGGGAAGAGAATGTAGAGTTAAGTCAACAATTGTACAAATAGTTAAAACACGAGTATTACAGAAATGCAATATCGTTTGTTTAGACCGATGCGATTTCGTATGGTGTGACCAAGCTTACCGTCCATCTTTTCGTTCGTCAGCATGGGAATCAATCCAGAATTCTCCATCTACAAAATAATAATTAGTCCAATCTGTTCAAGATCTACGAAAAACCATACTGAAAGGTAATGTACCTCTATGACAGTCTTTAAATGTTTCGAAATCATTTGCTTTTCAACAATTGCTCTTATTTTTGGTTCCGTTGTTACTGACAAATAGTGTCGAATTCTTTGTTCTTCTTCGGTTAAGCGGTTTTCTACCTGTGGTGTTTTACAGATGGTATTTAACAAATGTTAAATCAAGAACAATTCTTGCTAGCATTCAGAATTCGGCATCATTCATGTGTTATTCACACTACCATGGTGTAAACATGAATAAATGCGCATTGGCCATACAAGCATTAAATATTTGGCACCCATCTCAACTCTCACTATGTCTCCCAAAACATTAACTTCATGCGTTCCCCAATTTCCTGTTCAATTCCAAACCTTTTTCATATATTCCGGTGCGTCACACTTTGCAACCAAATTCTGTCCTTCCAAGTTGTAAAAGTCTTCACTGGTTTCCAAGAACTTTCCCTCAAAGTCAATGGCATACACAGACTCGTGATTTGTCGAATCGGTCAATTCCAACAACATATTCATGGCTGCTTTGACCGCAGATCGGTCGATAATTTCGTTTTCGCGCTCAAGACGAATTTGTTGTAAAAGGACATTAAGAAGATGCGTCTGAATCGGAAGCTGAGGAGAGCGAACGATTGTGTTGCAAAACAGTTCGAGGCCAAGGTCGTAGACTAGAGCGACTTTGGCCGATTTTGCATAAACACGGTCCTAATTATATAGACGGAAAGGGAAAAATTGATTTGTCGGTTGGAATTTATGATAATATGTTTATTATGCTACCACACATGTATGCCTCGAACCTTACCATATACATTAAAATATCTCTTATCATCATCATGCAGGTAGTATGATCTTCCCAGACCCTCTTCAACACCTTTAAAAAGTTAGCACCATCCCCTCCGCTAGCCGCTCTTCTGATCACAACGCTCGTTTCGCTGACGGGAAACGCAGGTGCCACTTCATTCAATGCGACTTCTTGAAGATGTTGCGTGATCACGTCCTTGACACCGGCATACAATCTTTCGCCATTTTTATGCAATACCATGTTATATGCATTACGATAGAGTTCTTCGAACGAAAGCACGGATGCATTTTTCTTGTGAATTTCGCGGATGGCTTGTGCAAGTCGTTCCCATGTGTCATTGTTTTGGCTCTCGGTCGGTGCCTATTAAACAGAGAGAACAAGTGGGAGGGGGGAGTGAGTGAGAAGCGAAGATAAAGACAATGATTGGGTAAAGAAAGAAGTAATTAAAATAAAAATAGAAATATCATTTCTCTCTTTTTTTTTCTAATGCTTAATAGGTTGTTTGCTAATTGAATAGAAGGGGGCATATAGCGAAATAGAATCGCATAGCTCAATTGACAAGAATGGCATTCTGCCAAGATAATTGACCAACGGATCAGGTACTTGACAGTCCTTCAGCTTGTCAAAACTAATATATGCAACACAATCCCACAATTAGCGCATGTATGCCTGACATCATTGTTATTGTGAGAAGCTGTTTGCACTTTGAATGCAAATAACATAGTAAATCGCTCTTGGACAGGCTAGCGTTGTCAAAAGCTCATAGTCTTATCTCCCTGCTTTTTTAGTAATTACAACAATAACAACAACTTACAGTCTTTCTCGCTGACCTCCTTGCCGATTGCTTATGTCCTCCTCGTCTGGAGCTCATGTTGTTTGCGTCCCTGACGACAAATCGAACGTTTTTCTTGTATTAACTATTTAAGTGCCTTTTATTCTTTTAGCGGTGCCTATATATGAGACAATAATCCTAACTTGTTATAGCCACAGCTTGTGCAATTGTACACGGTATTTGTATTTACAAAGGTGAGGGTATAGCAAGATCGATAAGATAGAATGAACTTTTAATGCTACTTCTTACTGCGGTGTGCTTTCAGAACGATGTACAAGCTAGTCAACCAGTTTATTATATACCATTTATAATATGTCTCAAAGACGCTGAAGGAAATTTGGTTTCTTTCTGTTTACGTGTAACCTGAGCTTGTAGATTATTGTTACATTCACCCAATCAGAGTCAAGCAATGCATTCCGATTTTTTTAAAATCGGGGATTGATGTTTAACGAATCTCTCTCTTATTCTGACAGTATCGGAAGATGGTAGGTACAAAAGTGCAAGGACATGGATTGCCTTGTTTTCAAACGGATGCAGAAAATGGGTGACGGGATACGATGAGGAAGAGGTGGCAGTTTAATTGAAAGAGAAGGCTTTCGGAGACGGATGAATGGAATAGTTTTGGATCAGAAGATGCAAGGAATAATATGATAGTGGGAAAGGAGTTGGCAGTGACTTTTCCTTAATTGATAAATGCGTCCCTGTATCAACATACTCACTGTTTGCTATTGTGCAGGTCAAGAAGGAAGCTGCCAAGTCTTCATCTTCGGGTGGGAAAACAAAAAAGAAGGTATTATTAATTGCATTGACAAATTACGTTATTTTATTCTGTCTGCGGAGATCAAAGACATAGGGACTCACAACTTTGTTATGCGATATTAATTCAAGACCTCTAATGGATTTTCCCTCATATTTTTAGAAATGGTCAAAAGGAAAAATCAAGGATAAAGCTAACAATGCTATCATTCTTGATACCGCCACATATGAGAAACTTCACAAGGAAGTTCCCCTATATAAACTAATTACACCTTCCGTACTGGTTGATCGTCACCGTGTGAATGGATCACTAGCACGAGCTATAATTCGAGAGTTCGAGGAGAAGGGACTGATTCGGAAGATTTCTACGCACGGATCGCAATTGATTTATAGTATGTATTGTTTTGAAATACGTGGGAGAGAAGGGTAGTAGAAGGGCTTCGAAAAGCTGAATCTCCAGACTTGTGTGTGTGATTCTAACTTTAGTCATGCGTTTTAATATATTATATTAATCGTTTACTTGATCAGTTTCCTAACCTGTCGTTTCTGTCTTTTTTTTTTTTTTTTTGACTAGCTCGTGCCACTGCTGCTATTGACAAAACCGAGAAAACCGAATCTTAGGTATAATTTACAGCAACATGTGAGCAGGCTCGTGGAATTCTCTTACTATGTAGAAACGTTAATAAATGAATCAACATTCCTTAACATGTTTTTTTATATCATTCTCTTGGGACATTATTACGATCCATGAACGCTAGGATTGGATTAGCTGCGTTATTGGATGGAGACTTCTAGATTTTAACTATAAGCTACTACCGTCAAGTGTTCTGAATAGAATTTACTTTTAAAGCCCGTTCCGTTAATATAGGGTCGATTTTTGACCAAAACCCCTTTCTTCTAAGGACTAAACCCAAGTAACTCGGCCTGATAGCAAACAAGTTCATAAGAGGTAAAATCGTTGCTAAGCCAATTAAAAACATCCAAGTTTCTGAAAAAAATGCTAAGAATTTGGTAAAGATAACGAAAGGAGGGATTATCCACAGACTAACATCGTATAAATACCATACATTGGTATTATTTTATTACGTGTCTCCAAGAAAACGGAATTTGTATAATTCTTTTATGTAATCAACCAACTTACTTTACAGTTGACGTGTGCCCAACGATCAGTTACAACTTGCCGAACAATAATAACCAGACAGTTACTACTTAGGCGACATCTGCTATGCAATTCATTTCTGTCACTATTGCTTAGCGAGCAGAGAGTATCTCAATTTCTTGCTGAATCGTCGTCTCAACGTTTCAAATAATTATATAGTCAAGCTTCTAATAATAATTCATGATTGAAATTTCACGTTACTAAAGCAACAAGCTTAGAGCCGGCGGAAAAACCCACAAATCAATTTTTTTGTGATAACAGTCACATGCCTGGCCTGTGACGCGCGCGTTCAGCGTACCTACCCGGAGGAATATAAATGATGCAAGCGCATTATCGTGTTGCGTCAACAATAATGCAAGATTTATGTCCATAAATGACTGCTTTGAACGAATTACCTTTAATTGTTAACGACGTACAAAAAGAAATTATTAGAATGTTATACTATTGCCTAAGTAGTAATTTCCTTATTAGAATAGGGGAAAGGGGAAACATGCCAATAACTTTTTGTGGCCCCCGAATAAGAAAACCTGTTGCGATACAAGTTTTTACTACACACCAATTGATCTTGTGTATATGTACAACTTTTTTTCTGTTTGGCGCGTGTAGAGAATAGGAGGCTTCATGTTCAACCCCTCAGATAGGTATAACTTTATGACTCGAGCATTGTAGAGTAATGTGCACAAGAGCAGATATAGTGAAATGCAGTTTATTATAATTTTGTGGTTTTGGCGTTTGGCGGGTGGTTTAGAGAGCGCGTTAACATAGATTAATTTCATCTATTAATTAATGCCTTGATATGATGTTCATATTAACATTTATTTCCATGGCCCTGATTTACTTAATATTTACTATTCATATCTTTTTTCTATAGCTACAGAATCTTCAAACACCAATACTGCCGACCTATGACTGTACTTCAATAAAGTATTTTCAAATTCATTAGAGCAGCAAGCAGCAGCAGCAGCAGCAGATACAACTATCGTTCCAGCCGAGAAGCCATGGATAAAGCGAAAGTAGAATGCATTTACCGCATTAAGAATTTCAAAGTGGCAATGACATATTATCGTTATGACTCACAACATCCCATTTCGGAATTCAGCATTACCTTAATATTAATATTAATATTAATCTACAAACGGCAATTTCATATGTAACCCGACGGGTACTCATGTGAGAGCACACATATCCCATTTCTATTGGCTGCAGATATTTTCATATGATTGGTCAAATAATTTTCTGAGGATTGTTGTACGTTGGTTTGGAATTTATGTCCATTCCGGATGGACATATGTCAGATGGGAATTTGTGTTCATTCCAAATGGACATGTATGTCAGATTGGAATAGTAAAGACAACCAGGTAACAACTTTATAAAATTATTTATTGGCATTACGATACCAACCCTACTTGCGTACAAACAACTGAGTTTGTTATAAATATACGCTATTTTAGTTTTAGCATAAGGGATAGATAATCTACATAAGCGCTTGTATTATACGTCTTTATATACACTTGAATCTTATCTCATGATACAATAAATAGTATTACACGTAACAAATTACCGCACTGTCGATTATGACAGTTAAATATGCTTCATATGTGATTATATCACAATGTAAACTCTGTCAAATTCCCAAACCCGCGTTTACATACGTAAAAAAGTGAAAGTTCAAAACGTAGACATGCATGTATCACTGCCACAAGAAGAATCGTATAACACATGTGATTAAAATAATGTTTATCTCACATTACGCCAATGCCAAAGATTAGGAAAAATAGTGTGAATTTTGCTAATTATCTTCAACTACTCACAGAGCGGTGGTGTAATTGAAAGTTCGATAAAGCGTACGTGCAGTATTGACAATTCTAAAACATTGATTCGTAAGGTACATTGATCATCAAATCATTCGACAAATTGTGCACATACAGACAGAAACCACTCAAATTGCATGATAACTCAACTCATCAAGCATAAATAATAATGGCGATAGCGAACAGTACATTGCTGGTAGTTATGTGTGTCGCACCATCTTAAGCTTAAACCTAGGTAGTTAAGTCTTGATACCATCCACCGAATGGAAAATTTTTACTAACGTATTCAGTAAGTCAAAGCATTCTCTACTCACATCTTCTGTAACTCAAAGCATATTTTCACAATGATGTGTCGAGCCCATATTTATTCTCTCGCTCTTCAGTTCTTCTCACTAACGTTTTTAGTAACTCAAGCATATTCACAATGATGTATGTTTACTTATTTGCATTCCCGCACACTATTCGCTAACGTATTTTGTAACTCAAAACATTCTTCATAATGATATGTCAGATCAAATAATGTTTACTCACAATTGTATTTGCTACAAGTAAATAGACAATTACTAACTTAACGTATTCTGTAACAGCATTTTGTCAAAATAATAAAGCCGCTTCGGCTCAAAGCTTGGTCAATTTAACCAAGATTAAATGTATAAGACTAGTCGTTCAACGGCTTGATATGCTTGTCGCAAAGCTGCTGTCATTCAATGCAGTAATGTTAATTAGATACATCGTTTTGTGTATTATGACGTGTTTATATGCGGTAGGGCTAATATCGTCAATAAAATAATTTTATAATGGCGTTACCTGATTGTCTTTATGATTCCAATCTGACATACATATATGTCCATTCCGAATGGACATAAATTCCAAACCGACATACAACATTGCTGGCTACAATGAAATACAGTTGGACTGTCTAGCATTTACTACAGTCTGTGTCATGTGAAATTATTCTTTATTACTTCCAACTACTATTTTATTCAAGTGGTAAAGACTAATTTATTGAAAATTTTGCTGAATGGCTATCAAACCAGTCTGCGTAGTTCTCTCAATATCTTTAACTTCTTGTATATTATTGCATCAGATTTCTTCGTTTCGCAAGTTCACGCTTTTGAGCAGCAGAAAGAGAACTTTTTTGTTTATCGGTACCAATCGACGTTTACAATAAATATAAACGTTGCATATTAATTACAGTATAATCCAGTATATCTTATGATTCAATAATTTTTTGTTACATTACGTTATGCTTGTGTGGCAGTTTATAATTAGAACCATAACTTTGAAATGTGTTCTAAACAGATTATTATTTATATTATAGAAATTCGGTCTGCTTTGTGTGGCTTTGTGGTCAACTTTTTGGAATATTAACTTTTGCTCATCAGGTACCGGCAAACGCCATGACAAAAAGTGGTATATGGCCAAGTAATGTCGCAATGGTGAATGATATACCAACCAGGACAAGCATGATTGTTACAGAAAGCTTTAGCACACCCGAATATGAAGTTAATGCTCTTCGACTTTAGAATATCATATTTGTCCAGTCAGTAGTCGTCATAAATATCCGGAATTTTGATCCGGTGCAGAAAAAGTCACGTAGCATAACCAATTTTAAACTAATATAATAAAGTATCGTGCATCATAACCAAACACGTTACCGCTAACTTGTTTGCACTCTGTTTTCGCGTCTGTTAGTGAAAAAACGAAAACAATGTCAACCGGTTCAAAGTTTAATCACGTAAGCCAGCTTGGCAAATAATATTCAGAAACTTGCTGAAATCATACGTTTAAAGATTTTCCGAAATTTACAGCGTATGGTTTAGTCAATCGACTTAAAGAAAGATCAGGTGTTACGCCACCTCCCATACCTGAAAGACCTCCAATTCTTACTGTTAAACAGCGCCGTTACCTTGGAAAGTGCAGAACAACAAAAAACTGCTACTGCAACCGAAATGACTGAGAGACTGAAATAAAAGACTCTAATCTGAAGGTTTCCGTTCGCACTGTTCAGCGTACATTAAAAAAAAACTTTTAAGTTTGAAGTTTGTCGTCCACTTTGAGTTCTTCTTCTACAGCTTCATTACATTGCAGCTCTTCTTGAATGAGCTCAAAACTCTCTGCTTCTATTTTTAGTTTTTTTTTTTAAATTTCAGAAATGTTTCGCTGGTTGTTGCTGACTTCAACATTTCATAATTCTGAAAATGTCCGTAACAATTGGTCCAACACTATTTTCTCTGATAAACAACCTTTCAGATATTCGAAACACTCAGTTAGTAAGATATCATTGTGGGGAGTCACAACCACACCGAAGCATGGTGAAGCACCCTTTTAAAGTTTATGCTTGGGGGTGCATTTACTGCACAAGGACCAATCGCACTTGTTTTGTTCACTGAAAACTTTAATGCAGAAGATATTGAACTCACTTTTTTTCTTACATTTCTAGAGCAAATTGTCAGTTTTATTTTAACAGGATAACTCCCCTGTCCACAAGGCGAGGGCATAACTGACCTGTGTGAGCGCCATAATATTTGCATTCTTGATTGGCCTGCTTACCGGATATAAACCCCATCGAAAATTGTGGTCAATACTTAAGGGAAAGTGGAGAAAAGAGTAGATTTGCAGTTGATGAAAAAAAAAGGCTTCCAACAAGTGATTTTGAGCAATAATTTATCAGAAATAGAAGAGTCTAGATAATAGTTTTTTTCTTAGGTTAGCGAATAGTATGAAAAATTATGTTTCGGATATTACGACAACCAATGTATATTGTTTGATATTCGACAAACGGATTATCGCCGGCAGAACGACCTGAAAATATACAGAAGATTGATACTTTCTTCCAGTATACGAAATATTGTATACATCTTGTAGGCCCGCGACTTAGTCAATGATTAGGTTTCAAATTTGCAATTACTGTTTATTGGGAATTTGATAAATTGCGCGGGGATAAAAAGTAATGATAAACATGGTTCGAAAAAATTTTTCTAGTAATTTATTTTATTAAATAATAAACGTAGACGGTAAGGGCATGAAGTACATGAAAATCGAGCGTGGTCAAATTCTCCTTGATGCCAAGAGGGCGTCAACATATTATCAGAACTTCCAAGAGTTTACTATTGTATAAGCAAGAACTAAAAATAAAAATGGACTGGCCACCGTGATTTTATTGCAGGTCTCGAAAACGATAACACGATTGGGGTGAAGATTTCACGAAATTGTCATTTGTGTATGCAGAGACCAGAATTATTTCGTTCAATAAGAAATATATTAATAATCGAGACAGTGTCGTAATTTAATAAAGAAACTAATACAATCTCTTAATAGACTGCGGATATACACAGATTGTCATTCATAACATGATTTCCAAATTAGCGAAAAGGGTAATAGAAAATTGCTGCCAAAATTACTTTGTGAAAATGATAACGAATTTAACACCCGATCAAGTTAGATATTAAAACAAGGTAGAAATTAAATAAGAAAAAAGAAAGCCACAACTATGAAATGACAGCAGAACGTAAATTTATACGTAAGTTTGTAATGCGATTCCTATAAAGACGATTCATCGCCCAGCATTCACACCCACATTTGTATTTCGAAATTAATGTTTTTATTCCTAAATTGGGCGTAAACAATGTGTCAAAAATATTACGTAATTTTATCAAAAGTTTATATAAAACCTTAAAGCCACCACAATGCCCACACTTTACCTTGTTCAGTTAAATTCTGCACAAGCCATTGAATTATCTTTCGTCAATTCAAAACCAAAAGCACAAACTTAGGATCATGGATAAGGTTGCAGGCAGATATGACAACAATAATGTAGTTGAGTCATTATTAATAATTATTGGTGTTGGTGCAGAAGTTTCTGTTGGTGCAGAATCTGGTGTTGATGTTGCTATTGATGTTATTCCTGTTGGTTTTTTTGTTGATGTTGGTAATGCTGACGTCGAGGACGATCCTTGTTTTTTACAGTAACCGTAACTAGCGCAATCATGGCCTATCGGACAACAACCGCCCGGACAACAGTGGTAACCGGTCTCACAACAAGTGAAACCACTACAAACTGCGCCGCATTTTGTCTCACAACAATAAATACTGTTTGGACATGGGTAGTATCCGGGATCGCAAGTAGACGCCCTTTCTACCAAAGAAGAATTGGATGATATTAATGTTCCGCTCTGCAAAGCACGAAATAATTCGTCGTCCCGTTTTAAGGGTAGTGTAGCGAAAGTGAAATTACATAAAGTTGTGAGAATAAGTGTTAACAATAAAAATTTCATTATGATTATGTACAATACGTTTGTGAAAATAAATTAGCGTGTTTCGGTAAAAAAAGCAAACCAGCTTTAAATTTGATCAATGTTCGATTATCTCTATTTAAATTTTATGATAAGCCGCAGTATTTTATATTTTTTTTTTAGTTTTCTCAATTGAGGGACAAAATTATTCTCGCCCAATTATTTTCAACAGAATAAAAATAGAAAAGCATCCCCTTGTTTCAAAGAGGGGGGGGAGGGGAGTACGATATATTCATAGTTATTCTTGCAGGCAGGCATAACTTTGTTATATTCTATTCAAAGATCTCCACCTCATCTCTTTCAATAGATTCTCTCTTGCATGAATTGTAGGTAGACAAAACGGATCAAAAGAGACTTCAACGAACACCTCGTTGTGAGTAAAAGATTCTTGCAATGAGTTATACAGTATAATCATACAGCGAGATATTTCCTTTTTCACAGACTTGTACTTTTCTAGAAAAGAAAATTTTCCACCGTGCTACGTTTCGATCACAACCCGACATCCGGATTAGGAAATCCAGTATGTAAGACAACGTGTCTATTTATAACAGTTAAAATTAACTATTACAATGTCTCATGTAAAAACGTAAACTCCATCTAATTCCCTCACATACGTAACAATAAAAGTTACTATTTTAAAGAACAATGTATGTATCGCTGTCGTAAGGAAAATCACAAAACTCCATTGTCTCCTTGGCGAAGAAAGATTCTGAACAATATAAATTCAGCTAAATCATCTTCAACTGCTTGAACGTAGGTGTAACATTCAATAAAGCGTACAGACAGTATTGATTAATTCTAACATTGATTCGCAAGCCGTATATTGATTATCAAGTCATTCGACAAGTTGTGCATACAGAAAGAAACCACAAGTCGTATGTTTCGGGCAAATAGTTCTTGACTCTCCATTAGAACAGGCAAATACAAAAGTTTATTCTTTATTCTTACTACAGTTACGGAATCTTTGTGAGAAAGTAATTGAGAAAGTTGGGAAAGGCTAAAGCGGAGCAGAACGTGATCCTGTATTTGCAGTTTTATTGGCTGCCATACAAATTTGACCAATGGAATTGCGAGGGATCTGCTCCGCTTTAGACATGCCCCAAATTCATCATCAACTTTCAATACCCTGATTATGATATCAAGGGGTTGTGCGACCGTGTGGCACTGCCACTTTTCCGGCAAAGCCAAATGCGCTGTTGCCGGTACAGTACTTCATTACCGTGGTACTATCAAGTATTTCACAGCAGTTACATCTGCAGTGTATATCATATGTAATTCCAAGTAAAACTGCATGTCTTTATGCATTTGACCACATTAAAAATTTGAAGTGGTAATTACAGTCTCATGGTTTGCAATATTTATTTCAGAATGGACTATTTTATATGTGAAGGAAGAATGAATCCCGGCGGGTTCTCACATGCGATTGATACTGTATAAACTTCTAGTGTATAATATAAAATTCAGATATTACTATCTGCTTACACTATAACAAAAAATCTAAGGTAATAATATGTGGAAATAATTGTAAGTTTCTGTCGCGTTGTATATGTGTATACTTGCGAATTTATCACTGACTACGGGAATTAAATTAGTGTGAGAAATAAAGTTGCAACTATTGCATTTGATCGGTTACGGAAATGAAAAAAAAGAAATGTTTTTGAAAAAGATAATTCGAAAGGTTAATTTAATTGTTTATCTTTAGCAATCCTTTTACTGACCCAGTAAGCATAAAGTGCATGAAATCGAGCGCAGTCATGTTAAAAAATTTTCGCAATGCCAAGAGAAGCGCCAGCATATTATTAGTACTTCCAAGAGTTTATTATTGTACTGTTGGAAGACACATTTCACGAAAACGTCATTTTGTGTACGTTGAGACCAAGAGTTATCATTGTTATTTCGTTCAACAAGAGAATATATGGATAATATGAAACAATTCTTATTTTGTAAAAAAGTTTTCCGTCATTTAATGTGTGAGATAAAAGACGGAAACCGTATAAAAAACAACACAACTGTTTAATTAGACTGCAGATAGGCACAGATTTCTTAGGATGGAAAGTCTTTCGCATCCGCTTGCAGTATTGTAACGGTAATGCATGCAATTTCCGCAAAAATTTTACGACGTAAAGGCTATACGATTTTCAATAAGGCAATTCGCTCTCAATTTTTTAACTTTTGTATCTCAAACCTAATATTTTATGATAGACTACTCCTAAATTGGAGGCGTAAGCCTTGTATTAAAAACATTACGCAATTTATCAAAAGCTCTTAATAAATTTCAAGCTACTACAATGCTACAATTTATCTTGTTTAGTAAAGTTTAAATAAATATTGAGTTTTTTTTTGTCAATTCAACAACCAAAAGCGAAAAACTTAGAATTATGGATAAGGTTACAGGCAGATATGACAACGATAAGGTGGTTGAGTCGGAGGTAATAAGTATTGTTGTTGTTGGTCCTGAATTTGGTGTTGATGATGACTTTGTTGATACTGAATCTGGTATTGGGGTCGTTGTTGATACGATTGATGATGATGTTGGTGTTGCTAATGAGGTTGGTGATGTATACGTCGAGGTTGTAAACGTCGAGGATGTCAACGCAGTGGATGTCCCTTTCTTACAATAACCGTAGTAACTACTGCAATCCTCGCCTATCGGACAACAACCGCCCGGACAACAGTGG